GTCTGCGCCGCTAGACTATTCTGCACTTTGTCTCCAAAAGTCTAAATTGGGAGTATGCAAACAAACAAAAAGTACTAACGTGTGCTTGGCATTCATAAACACTCAGACTTACGCCTCAGGCTTTTTAAAATTCTGAACATCGATTTTGAGGCAGGGGGAGGTCCTGTCTCGCATGCGTAAGCGTGGCTGACTAGACAGCCTCAGTCGTTGGGGCAGTCTAGACGAAAGATTCGTATTTCGGGTTATTTTTGCCCACTTACTAATGGAATAAAAAATCTTTCGAAAGTTAAAAAACCTCAGTCAGGTGCAATGCACTGGAAGCGGTTTGGGTGATGTTATGTGGACACATTAAGAAGAAGGCGTCCTCCCTTACAATGCTCACGACTGTAAAACGTTGTTACTCATGGTCCTTGGTATTTTTGCCACTTTTGTTGTTTCGTCGGTCAAAAAATATCGCTAACACAAAATGAAACGCTTGAGGCCGAACTGCACTTTACCGTTTAAAGGTAACTGCGCGTTATATGGCAAATAAGAAAGTTGAGGTAAGAGAGATATGCGTACATGTTGGTATTGGCACATTAGCAAAATGACGTATTACGTGAAGCTGGTCAAATACACTTGTTTATTTGTTCATTTTTGAGCGGGTTGAAAGTCGCGGTTTCGATGAAATGACCACTGCGTGCGTCTAATGATGGTTATTGCAATACAGAAGGCACAGACGACTACTTACGGTTCACTATTGTGCAGCGAGGAAAGTTCTTATCAGGCTCTTTAGTTAATTAAAGAATCTTTCAGTTTTCGGATCAAACTATAAGGTAGTAGTAATTTCTTATGTTGTAGTTTTCAGCCGGTAATTAATCCCCTAACTCCACAGCAGTGTGTCAGTGGTAGGTTCCTAGTACCAGTACTTCGTCGTATACTACAGTTCAACACTCCATCGTTTACGGAATTATATCAAAGATATGTCAGTTAGCGACAAGCCCAACCAAGAGCGTGGATCCCAGTCATCAAGTGCTGGCCCTCTCGTGGTGGTATTCTAACTGTCTCATGTTTCAGTATCCTGTTATTCTTTTTTTTCTCTTGACTTATTGAATATATTCCGATGTTATTAAAACGTGCCTATTGTGAACAAGCGCTTATTCTGTTTTTGCTTCGGATGAACTTGCAATACGGACTTAGTCTCCAGTCATATTCAGAAGAACTCACTGATTTCACTCTAGATGACGTATGAAGCGAGAAATTGACGCAGCATGGGTTTCAGGCTCCTAATATCTTTGAAAAGTACAGGTTGAATCCACCGTGAACGCTTTAGTAGTCTAACCTACGACTGGACGACCGACCTAATATCCGGGGTGTAAAAGCACTGAGACATGTTGCACACAGAATAACTAGCGTCCTAATTGACCTTCAAGAGTGCTGCCGTTGCTTTAGAAGTGCGTGTCAGTACTACAAAAATACGGCGATGCCTCGGGAATAGAAATTAAAATGACCGTCTTCAGAATTTAAGACTAACCCAACCTTATCCAGTAAACTTTAACAAGCAGGCCGAATGCTGCTGCGAACGGCAACTGCTGGTGTAGATTGTTATTCAGAGAAAGGTAAGCACTGACGTCGCGCCGCCGCAGGCAAAACGTCATGGCCGCCCGCGGGAGAGCGGTCACCACCATGGCAACCAACCCCTTCCTTCCCTTCTTTTGTCATATCACGAGGACGACTGATCTTGGTGCCAGCGGTGAGCTAATGCGGTCACCTCAGTTACGCACCCAGAGGCCTGTCAATAACGGAAACCTCGATGGCAGATTTCTGGCCTTTGGTGATGATGATGATGGTGGTGGTGGTGGTGGCGGTGATGATGATGATGATGATGATGATGATGACGATGATGATGATGATGATGATGATGATGATGATGATGATGATGATGATGATGATGATGATGATGATGATGATGATGATGATGATGATGATGATGATGATGATGATGATGATGATGATGATGATGATAGTCTCACAAATGTTTCCTGCGGCCGACCCTTCCTTCCATTTGTGCTTGGACGCAAACATTTACCTCAGTCCTGTCTTCGTTCTTCTGTATTCCAACCTCACAAGCATTTCTAGCTCAAAATTACATGTTCACTTTTCAGAACAAGTTCTCTCCTGGCCATTTACTGGCTTCATCCGGCCAAACAGTTCTGGAAAACGCTTTCATCTAGATGTCTGATGGATGTTCTTGAATGCGCAGTCTCCATGAGCATTTACGCCACGAGTCCTCTGGTGGAACTTACGAAACCGATAAGGAGTAAGGAGGAGACTGGTGGAGATCTGGAGAAACATATTCCTCAGGTTAAACTCGTATATAAATTCATTTTCAACGATGGCACCGGCGACAGAACAAGCCTTGATAATTCGATGTCTGCGTGTTCATTCTAGAGGCTTAATTCAGGAAATCAGCTGAGGATATGACATGGCCTGCTGCTATTGAAACATGCTTCAGAAGCGTCTGATATTACACACGAACCAGAAGCCATGCTTAGAAGTTGGTAAAAGTCACTGCTAACACCTTAAGTGGGCATCATGAGTCCAACTTTGGAGTCGCGGAAATAAATGTTGAAACCGGGATGAAGACAGTCCTAGAAATAAAAGTTACACATGCTTACAAAGCCCTGCGCAGATATCACCACGCATGTCCGTTGATTGGCTAGAATGTTTTAGAAGCACCGATACAAGCGAATTGGCGAGTTTCAGGAGGCAAACTGGTGGGAGACCAGAGCAATTCAGCACGAATAACACTTTCTCTGTCGCTATTGTCATCTTCGACAATGGATAACTGCATGACTTACAGGTAAAATGTCTAGACGTTCGATCGGACTTCTTTGCCTAATTTAAACAAGTTACTAGGGCTCCAGTAATTGTCCTTACTTAGGAAACCAGATTCCAGAAACCATTCATATACTTGTACACAAGGTTTATCGTTTCCACAATGCCTTCCTTCGATTTCACAATCAACTGTGCATTTGGGGGTTCTTATATCTATATCTACACGAGATCACTCTGTCAAGGCGCCAATGTGCATATGAAATATTGTCTTCCACGGAAACTGTTATAGTCTAGCGTGGCTTTTTGCAATTTTAGATGCTCTGTACAGCTTCACTCGGACCTACGGGTATCAAATTGTTGACCACATGACACCTCAGTGTCCTAAAATGTGAATCTAATGAAATTTCTAAAAGAATCCCTTTTACGTGGAAGACATATATTATATTCAGAAATAGATAGCCAACAAAGACAGAAGAGACTGGAATAGCATGTATGGCTTATTAGTCGTCGTCGTCGGCCAGCCAGCCGTGCCCAACCCTGAGGTTTGCAACCTCTGAGGCTCGAACCCGCGACCTGTTGGTTAAAAGTCCAACGCCCCTAACCGCTAAGCCAGGGGCTCGTTGTCGATTTTGATCAGAAATACAAACACTGGCAGATAGACGCTCACAGATCGTTTACGAGACTCGCTCGCCCCGTTGTTCTTTCGTGACTCGATCGAAAGCCCCCCCGGCAGTCGCACAGCGACGGCTAATATCGCTGATTTGGACTGTACCTTACTCCACTTTATGACGACAGAGGGTAACTAATGCCGAGCTTACTGTTTTGTCACATGCCAGTTCTACGTGCATGGGCACCTACCCCAAAGCTTTTCATTATATCCCCAAAGTCACTTTCGTTGACTCTGTCCGGATTTGATCCTTAATTATGTCGCCGCGCAGATACCGCCATCTGCAAGAACAGCACTGCTTATTCATCGTAGGTAGATTATTTGTCTAGCTGGCGACGCGAGATGCACATAATCAGCCGTCAGCAAGTTTTCTGAGGTGAGAGCCTCTGACTTGCTTATGGACAGGTCTTTCTAATCTCCATTAGTTTCCGTCTTCGGAAAACTGTTTGCTGAGCCGAGCCGCATTTCACCCGGCCATGGCGACACCTGCCGCGAAATAAAGACACTAGTCGATGTAACCTCGTATTCCGAGAGGGGCAACAAGTGGGTATAGGATTCCCAAATTGCCGAGTCCCAGAACGAGTGTAAAGTTAAGTGAGATCAGAAGAGACTCTCTGGTGAAAATCGTCCCTCTTCCGTTAAGTATGATTCTGATTTCTAACTGTGAGATCAAATGCTACTCAGTTGTTCATGGTTAGCTCAGTAACGTCGGATTTTGTAGAAAGGAATTACGCATCTGACTCCAGCTGTGAGCCTCGGGCTTATCACACGAGAAACTACGGACATGTCTCAAGTACGTGTAGGCTCAATGCGAAAGAATGTCACCCGCCTATTGTTTTTACGATTCGACCTCTGTTTTCCTAGTTTGACACAGGTACACCGAGTTGGCTTTGCAGCCTGGGGGCTATGCGAACTACGACCGATTTTTAAAACAGAGATTTTCCCCCCTCCCCACGAAACAGGAGGAATTCATCTTACGTAGTACAGTAAGGATGTGTTTTTTGGATCGGCGGACAGTGCTATACCGCATACTAAGGGCAACTGCCATCGTATTTCGGGGCTGCAACAAAATTATCTTTTGTCGCATGTTGTTGCTCCAGTTGCTTTCCAGTGTGAGTAATCTTAGTGAAATCATAGGAATCTGACGAGGTCCAAAAAGTAAGCATTAAGGCGGAGAAAAACAACCCGACTGCAGAAACCGTCAATCTATCTGGGCTTACTGTTTGCGTGGAGTCCAGTATCAAACATTACAAAAACTAATAACAAACTAAAGGTTCTTTAGTGCCGCACAAACTGTCGGCCAGATGTGGTTCTATCCAGAATGAGGCCGCTATTGTTCAAAATTTTTCCTGACATTTCCTAGGCCAGTGGGAGGCACAGTATGCAAGTCTACGAAATTTCGGCTAGAGATCCAGGCCTTGAGTTTATCCAGATTTGTTTTTTTTGACGGCCAGCGCGTTTGAACTCGTCTGGCGTTAGAGCAGATATCTGGACCCCCTTCAGGAGGATCGCAAGACCTTGACTAATTTGACCTCTAGATTGCCGTCTGACCTTCAAGACAGAAGAATTGGAGTTGAAAAATTAGCGTGCTCTTCTATGACCTCAGCTCTCGTATCCTTTTTTCACGCCTGCAGCATTACTTACGAATAAATTACGCAATTACAAATAAATGTGGGATCATTCACGATTGAAACCCACATAGGGCACCCTAAATTATACCACGTACCTTCGTTAAGTTCAGTGGAGTAAAACAAGCAGAATAAGCGAAGGCTATTGAGTCACATACCGCCCAGCACAAAGTTACTTTCACCTAATACAAATCTCCGTTTTGATGCCCGTTCGTCGACAAGGTGCTTGTTACATTAAATGATGGCATTTCATAAAACTTTACTAACTTTGGTAATAAGCAAAAGTAATCGCCGCCTTTCCTGCTCTCACCACGCGAACGCCAAAAGACGCATTTACATTTAAAATTTATTGAGATACAATTAGCTCAGTCTGAACTACCGCAGTAACGTGACGGTGGTTCATGTGGCAGAGTCGCAGGGACCGCCCCTGGCCCTGGAGTTGTGACTGCGCTTGAATTTGTTTGTAGTGAAGCGGACGTGGCCAGCGTGTATTCACCGTTCCTCTCCCACACAAGATATGCTCCCATAACAAGACAAAGTTAAGAAGCCCGAAGATGGAAGCGATCATGATTGTTGACAAGGCTAAACGGTCCATATACGTGATCCCCAAACTTCACGGGAACCAGATCTCAGAGAAACAGGGCTACAAAGGAACGATTTCAGAATGACCCCCAGTCATATGAAAGATTAAATTATATCCTTAGTTGCAAACTTTCAAAACTCTTACTTCCAATGCACTGTGCCAAATCCATGGATGTCAGTTTCGTATAGTAACGAACGCCCATTTAATATATTGGCGACTTTTCCTAGCTCTTTGATACACCGCTGAAGATAGTAGGCGCAGTAGCGTGAAGAACTCGTCTGCGCGTACCATAGGCGTGTCGGTCGCAACAACGCGTGGGTCGAGCTTCTCAAAAATAGACCTCATAAAATTAAGAGATGCATATGTTCCCACAGAACGTTCCGCCTGTCATTACTAAGTTTCAAGATCACACCCCATGATTGCTGCCCGAGTGATTTTTAATGTCCTCTTGGTTGCCCACATGGATACGCTTGTATCCGAAGAGGTTCACGCATTGTGTGCACGAGTCAGGTCGTCTTCGCCGTGTATTGCTATCATAGAGATTTGGGTGAGACAGATACAGCACAATTCTGCTCGGAACAAATAAATCCAGGGTCGAAAATGCTAGAAGGGGACTGGAAAGCAGATGAGAGGGACTTGCGTCTAACAAAAGTGGTGAAGCCCCTGCCCTCAAAGAAGGATTACTGATGCTTTAGGGCTAGGAAAACGGCTTGAAGCTGCCGTCCGTATATACTGTAGCGCGAGTCGACAGGTAATTACTTCCTGGAAAATAAAGTTGGGGATTGGGTCTAACCTGTCAGGCGCTGTTAAAGAACCCCTCCAGCTGCAGCGACGGAGGTGCGGTCGAACGCCTGCCCCAGCACTGTCTCTGGCACATACTTGCAGTTGCGCACCAGCGGTAATCGCTCGTCTGGCATTTCAGGACCTTGTATGGTGCCGCCATGGCATCTAGCCACTCTTTGAAACCCACTCTGTCTGGCTTTCAGCCAATCACAGGCATCCAAAGCAGCCAATTAACTTTAAGGCTGACGTAGATATTCTCTTGCTCCAGACGCTTACACGTTTGCTCCGACGGCGCCAGAAGTGCGCCTCTCGTCCGGCTGCCAACTTGCTCCAGCATATTATCCCTTCATTCTGTACAGAATTCAATTCTTTATTTACTGGCGTTCACCAGTTCCACTTACTGCTCGGGATCTGGTCTTAGTGATCGGGATCCTTCTGTGGCTTCAGTTGCTGCGACAGAGGCAGCGGGCATGAGGGATATAGGTGCGCCGGGAGCAGAGAAGGCCGGGAGGGTTGTGTCGATCAATGGAGTCTTCACCTTGTCAAAAGCAGTGAGGACGTCTGCGGAGAGCTCTAACGAATCTTTGGGAGCCGAGGGGAGGGGGAGTTATTGGCGTCAGCTCCTTTCTGAAAGAGCCAG